GTAACCCCACAGACGACACCCTACCGTCTTTTTTCTATTGAATGTTGGGGTAGCCATCTCCTCGTCGTATACACTAACAGTTTCGACTGATGTAGATCCTCTTTCATCTGACGAAATATCGTCGTAGGACAAAAAATTGCCATTTTTGTCCAAATTTGACATGGTTGGTCTGTAATATCATGAACCTATGAAGAACAAAGAACTCTGGGACTGTGGACTCTGACAAGGGAGGTCGTTGAAGGGGGTCCATTTTATCCGCTAGGCCATCCGATCGTTGCCTCTGCACACAGCTCTATTTGTTGAAGAAACCATTGCAGGAAGCAGGAGCCATTGCAGGAGCCCCAACATTATGCACAAAACATTTTTTGAAAAGCGACCACGCCCTGAACGACCTCCCTTGTTAGAAACTATTTCTCAGATGTCTCACCCTTTGAAATCTATCTTTTCCAAAAAAGTGAGCATGGGCATGTAAGGCCACTCTTTCCCGCCCGCCGCTCCCGTCTTCGCTTTCATCTTCTTACGTCTCAAATCCTTGAGATTTCTCCAAGCTGATTGTATTTCGGGCACTGAATTCGTGCTTCGTTATTTTTCACAATTAAAGAATTAATATGAGAAAACAACATACATGATGTATTATGTCCAGATTCCTGCATAGATCGCGTGACTCTCAGCCACGCGTTCTTTCTTCGACCATTAATGCTGTACTCATCACAAGTATGGTCCCAAATACTGGGTTCCTGTTCTATCAATTCAATAAGATCCTTACGATATGAGTCCTTTCTTGCCATTTGGTATACTAAGGAGAACCTAAAGAAACTGCCTAACGAAAACAAAGAATTCTGGATTCCATGAGATACCCAATCCTTTCTTTCTTAAAATTGAAATGATCTGTTTACATTTCAGGGCGTCTACGTGCTGTGCACTTGGATCCTCTAACTTTTTTTTGAGAATTTTTGGGACAACATTTGGAGTTTTCAAATCTTTTGAGTCTTTCGGATGATTTTTGGCTTTCTACTGTCTTTTGAAACACGTAATTTTGAATGAACTTTTGGACACGGTTCGAGTGACATATTGTTTGTAGTTGTCATGACGATGACGATAACGATAATGTACTTAAACCGTTTTCATAAAATGAACTCAGAGGTTTCTCGCTTTTGTTCTTCTTTGGGTAGGCCTAACAAGGAGAGTTCAGCACTCAGTTGCGCGAAGCCTCCCCATACACCGACTCTCCCGAAGACTCACCTCGCACCACTCCCCAGGGAGAACTAGGTATGAGGTGAGTCTGCCTAGTTGGCCTAGTTTAATGTACACACTCAAGTCATGGGCGAACAGAGAGCGAGTGTCCCTTTTTAAATATAGTAGAACACATTCAAATTCCCATCTGTCCTGGAGCTAATTCACCGACCGTTGGCTCGCTCCGCTGACGCCGTAACGCGACCGCGCAGCGCAGTGGCGGTGTGATATATAAATAACATCAGGGTGGGGGTATATTGCTCATGAAACAGGAAAAGCCACGCAATAAGAAGTCAGTAACCGGAAAAGAAAGGGGCGACAAATTTCTCTCAATGGTTCCTCTGTTGAATTTCCTCAACTTACAATGTGGTTTTTGCGTTCGTCTCACCTCGTTTTTTAAACCCAAGACCTGTGTTGAATGGCTGCGAATTTCAACTGAATGAGACGTAGTTGCGCTTATGGTGAGATGTTTTCTCTTGGACATAATTGTGGTCATGTATCTATGTCACACAGAACAAGATGACACCACTCCATAGAACTTACCTCTAAGAATTGTTGAGCAAATGTGGATTTCTGCGAGATCCGAAGAGCTGATACTCACGGATACACCAGACAAATAAGCTTTCGCTGTGTACAGCTTCTCAAAAACCACTGGCAGGACTTTCGTTCCAACCTAATATTTTCGACATCTGCTTCAGCTTTATTAGGAAATAGATGACCTGAGGTGCAACCGAAAACTTGAGCACATGAAGTGCATCTTCCTTTTCTTTAATTACTACATTCCGTCGTCGCTACCCTTCAAAAGTTCTGCCACTTAGCGTTGGACTTCAGAGCAGGAAGATATCCGCTACCTATTCTACCCAATCACACAATGAGAAGTTGTTAACAAAGCTCGAAACCGGTGAATCAGTATCCACTCCCATCAGCCTTTCGAAGCAGAAGCTGATCTCAATATTATTAACTATGGATACGCACTAAAGCGATAATCTTGTAAAATACTCTCCTATTGAAGCATATGATAAAGAAAAAGAAATAAATAAAGAAAAAAAGAGCAGTACAAGTACAACATAGCGCCGGTTTCTTTCATTTATAAGCAATCTAGTAAAGGCGGCTCTCAAAACATTGGAGGAAGATAATCTCACGTTCCCAAAGTCACTAAGGCACACGAAATGGAAAACTCTTCTATGTGAGATTGCTGGAACAATTTATAGATGCGATTGGCAATTACGAAGATGAAGGAAAAAGTCTTTCACACACCAGTTTTGAAAAATGGCATATCCTAAAGTTTTGGTGCAATTTGGCGTGCTTGCGGACATGCTTCTCATTTTGCGTCGTTCCTTCACGTTTCCCTGTTGATCAGAAACTATTTCCTCATCGTATTTCTGGATGAGTGCTTGAGGAAGGAAAATAAGGTAGAGGAAAGATAGGAATAGAAGTAAGGGAAGGGGATGGAGGAAGGCTGATAACAGCTGATTACGTCTGCAGTTTCGGCATTTCTTCACTTTCTTCAAATCGATACGTATCCATTGCTTTTCGTCATTTCTGCAGATTCCGCACTTTCCGCACTTCTTCACTTTCGGCATTTCTTCACTTTCGGCATTTCTTCACTTTCTTCAAATCGATACGTATCTATTGCTTTTCTTCACTTTCGGCATTTCCGCACTTTCCGCACGTCTGCAGTTTCGGCATTTCTTCACGAACGCAAGCTATGAACGCGGCCTAACGGAGAAGGCGTATCTTCCCTTCGTCAGGAAGTAATGGATTGTCATGAATAGCTAAATTGAGAGGAGTTCAGGTAGAGCGCAGGGCAGCATCTCTTCGATGGGGATTTTTGAGTCGTAGCGTGTACGCCCCCACCCCCTTTTTGGGGGGTTCGGTACGACCCCCCCCCTTTTTACTGTTTGACGTTACATACTTCCTGAAATTAGATATAAACAATTAGATATAAAAAATAGATATAAACAGTCCTACCGAAGTTGAGTTGATTTACTTATGTGCAAGCGTTTGTAATCAAAAACAGGATGAGCATAAACACAGCATAAATGCGAGTTAAATGAGACTATGATTAAAACAAAAACAAAAAGCGGCATAACAGAAAAAAAAAAAAGAAATGCGCTAAAAATGCATTAACCCGAGATGTGGAGTACGGTAGCAGAAATGCGTATGTAATTGCAGCCGTGACTGGAGATTATTCGTCAATTTTAGCACTGGAGCGCGAGTTTTCAGCAAAGTGGGGTGTCTTTGAAGGACCATAACTTCCTCAAAAGCGGACCTGTGGGGAAGAGGAGACGTATTCGTGTAGAGGAAGGTTTGCACTTCCTAAAAGTACTGAAACGTTTATGAACGTCGCAAAAATCACAGAGAAATCTGCCATAGGGATTCGTTGGGGAGTGGATTTCAACCGAACAGGTTTGAATCAATATTTTTTTTGTAACTCAACATTTCACAAATCTGAGAATGGTTTCGAGTGTTTGAAGATTTTCTCTTTCTAAAAACCTCTTGAACTGTTTCTGAAGCTCTCGGGATTCATGAGATCTCGCTATGGGGATTTCTTGAGGAACACTCCCAGCTGCGCGAAAAACCCGTTTCCTGTGTACCGTTTCCAAGTGAGCGTGTTCGAATAGCCAGGAACGCATGTAGAACGTATCCTGTGGTGGAGCAGGAGCAGGATATGGTTCGTTTAGCGCCGATCACGCCAACTTTGGATGCGCCGCGCACTGAGGGCCGCGCAGAGGTGATGGGATGGTGCAACTTGTGCGTAATGTCTGTTCACGCGAGCAAATGTGTCTATAAGGTTCAGGGAGGTCCATGGCGAGCCGCACTCGTTCTCGCAGTGTTTCCGTGGCGGTATGATGGAACATGTCCCTGTCAACGCTGCCAGATTCGTGCTCCGCCAATCGCTGACTCCGATAAAGGAGACCAACTGCTGGAAAACGTCTGATATGAACGATATGGTAGTCCTGTCGCTTGTCGAGAAAAAAAACAGGTTGGCTCAGCGCCAAGCGCGACCGCGGACACGCCATATCATTGGCAGCGAACCAGAGTTTGAGTTGTACTGTTTAGTCACCAACGGACTTACGAGATAATGTCGACTTATTAATATTTGCAGTTATTTCGGATTAGTTTGATGAATGAAAGTTTTGTACTATTTTTTTGCATATCCGAGTTCTCTACAAAGCAAGTTTCGTTGTACAGGACTCAGCACATTGACAATTTGCGCTGCTCGTTACTGGCTGCCGCACTCACTACGACCCCCCCCCCTCTCCTGGCGGCCAAATACGACCCCCTGTTGGGGATTCCCCAACCAACGATGTGCCCTGCGTAGAGCTCAATGGAGGGTGTACCTGGAGAAGTAACAAAAAGGCTCAAATCACTGGAAGAGTACTCGTTCTCTGATGGGGACAAAGCCGAGCACCAGAAGAATAAAGGGCACTCCTGAAGGCATGCCGGCATCGCTAATGATAATGAAATTGAATAGCATTTTTACGAAATTGAAATATATGTTGTTAGTGTATTATATATGTTTTGTAATACTTGTTCTGCTTTGATTTGTGTGTCTTCGTGTCATAAAGCGCTAGAGCGCGCGCGGCCGCGCACAAGGGTCCCTCTGGTTGGGCCTGTGGTTTTATACAGGAGGCAAGTCAATTTTTTTTTCTTCGCGACGCTCCGGTGCGCGCCTCCCTATGTGCAGCACTGACCAAGAGACCACAATGAAACAAAACACACTACTGTATGAAATAAGTTTCAGCGACCTCGAATCGCAGAACTCTCTGAGCAGAAAGTCGATGTCTGTAATAGCTGATTAACCAAACCGCAATGGTCTAAGGAGACCCCTGTGTAAGGGCAATAATATACAAAAGGCCTTGTAGGAGCAAGGGATCTCTACAGGATTCAATGTGTTAGCCATTGTGGCTTTTGAAGACATCGCTACTGTACGATGAAAGTTCAGTTCTTGTGATTTCGAGTCACAGAATTCTTTGAGCATAATAGCAGAATGTCTCTAATAGCTGATTACCCGAATAGTGGTCCTACAGTAGACCACTATTCACTTGAGTAGCTTGATTAGCGCTCCTCTCCTCTTTTGTATGACACCCCCGAATCAAGAACTCAGCGCCGGTTTTGACCACCAGTGATAACATCTCTTTTCACTTTTTCGAGGTTTTCTTCTGTGACCATGTTGGCCAGGTTTACTTTGGCCAAGCCACGATTAGGTAGCTGATTTGGCTAGCTTACAACCGATGTAGAGTCCCACAATCCTAGCCAATTTGCTTTTCCGCCACATCTCTGCATGTCTGTCGAATGACATGAACTAATATGTTGCAGTAGGTTACGTGACAAATAGCACTTCTGGTGAAGATTCTGGAGCGGTAGGCTAGTGTGCAGATAAGTTGAGGACTATGGCTGTCAAGGCATGGAAAGGTGCAGAGAGCGTTTCGTGAGCAATCTTGAGTTTCCCTGTATTTTTTTCAAGGAAACGGGGCTCAGAGGAGGATGAGCCACTTGTCGTGCGTAAAAAGATGGAATATGAAGAGTCACAGTAGTCATTCAATGTTAT